CGTGGCCAGCGCTGGCGGGCGACAGGTGGGCGTGGCCAGCGCTGGCGGGCGACAGGTGGGCGTGGCCAGCGCTGGCGGGCGACAGGTGGGTGTGGTATTTAATGACAGAACATACAGGTGTGGTCTGTCCTTTGGTGAGAAAGATGAGGTAATGTTTATAGATACTGATTGGAATGGAAGTGCTGTTAATGGGCAGGGAGAAGAGCATGGAAATGGCCTTAGAAATGAATAGCATGTTGTTGAAAGCACTGGTGATTGGTGGATAAGTACTGAGAAATCATGCGTGGGAGGGTCACTACTGGCTGACAGCATGTGAGAGGAGTACATACCTCTGCTCCTCCTCTAGTCGGGCTATGATGCGCTCCAGCTCCCCGCGCTCCTCCCTCTCCACCGCCTGCAGGATCTGGGCAGGGCTCTGCGGTTGGCTGAGCGGCGACTCACCACCCAGCGTCTGGCAGTACTGCAGGATCAGGGCGTGCTCGTCATCCCTGTGGGGGCGGGGCCAGAGGAGGGGCGTCAGCGTCGCTCACCAGAGGTTTCAGCAGAAATTCACCAAATCAGACAAACTGCCAACCAAAAAGCATCACACAGACCTTCTGTGGAATTTCGTTTAATGAAATATTAACTATTCTGGGCACTCAACTACTAATTCAACACCTTCCAAATGGCCACATCCCACACATCACGAATACGGGACCAATTATTCAGCTACTAAACTGGAGCGTGGAGCCGACCCAGCTAATGGACTCTCCCTGCCCTCCAGGGAGCTTCTGAACATGAAAATGAGGACCCTCACAATACTGAAGAACCAGTATAAGCTCAGTATGAAGAGTAGTGGAACGAAGGGGGCGCCACTGAGCATCCCGCGTTGCATCAGGTACTGGGGGAGCTCGAGGCCAACGCTCTCCACAGTAATGACATTTTAAAACCCTTCCTCTCCGCTGAAGTGGCCCAGCGCTCTGTGTTGAGTGAGTGGCCCACATTCAAGGACCAAAGAGGCCCCAAGGGGCTTTCATTACGGCGGGGGTGAAGGTTTAAGGCCATCAGCTTGCGACAAGCTCTCAGCCGGACGCCGTTCCCCTGGAGACGGGGGGGGGGGGGTTTGCGTGTTGGGGCGCCATGGCCCCCGCCGCTCCTGCCTGCCAGCATTAGCGCCGCACCGCGGATTTCGGATCACTTCTGCTGCCCTCCGAGTCATGTGGGGGGGCAGGGACCTGACAACCGCCGCTAGCCATCACTGCTGTTTATCCACTATCCTGCCCCCTCACCCTCATTTGCACCCCCACTCCACGGCTGGCGCTGCGCTTTTCCCATCGCCAACCCCACAGACGAGGACAGTGACTTCCATCTGAAACCTCGTGGCCCCCCAAGGCCCAGTAGCCGCTTTTCTAGAGCCGTCAGCCCCCCCCCCCCCCCCCCCCCCCCCCCCCCCCCCCCCC